GATTGAAAATTTAAAAAAATGATTCTCATAAATAGTTCATACTGTAGCCAAAAAATCTAAAAAATATATAAACACACTTATTTTTTACAGACATTTTAATTTCAAATTTAGACAAAATTTCATATTTAAACCAAGAATTACGATTTTAGTTATTTTGTTGTGATTGTATAATATTATTCGTGGGTACTTGAAATTTCTAAAGTAATCTACTATGTATATCTATGATAGTATCAGGGTTTGTTGTTGGTGTATAACGCGTTATAAGTACCTAATGGATATTGTGATATGATTAATTTGGAATTCATTATAGGTCAATTTTTTTTAATACCATAGATATGTGTATAATATGTCTTATACCTAGAAGGACATACCGTCTCCGCTCAGAATCGTTTTTCTTATACAATGATATTATATCATTGAATTCAAATTTAATACCATCCATTATACAATGACCCACTTGTAACCTACTGTACAGCAGAGCGACACCCACTTGCCCACCTTTTTTTCATTTCATTTTTAATAATAATTAACCTGTCGTTTTTATTTTTGATAAACTGTTCTTTCAAAATGCAAAAAAAACTATCTTAATTCCTCTAAATCACAACTAAACAATATAATTATCTGATAAATAATAATAATAAAACTTAGTCTTTAAAAATATGAATACACATAGGTATGTTACAATGTATACAATTATTAGTAATTTCATAGCCAGCAATATTTATATAAAAAAATCCGGAAGTGATACGGAAACTACAAGCGGATTTAATGGCCATACCAGAATAGGACAGATATAATGGATTCAATAGTTAAGTTATTCTGAATTAAAAATAACTGAACGGATTCCGTGACTATTTGTCGAATTATAAATTATAATGGACCAACAAATAATATACAGGATAAACGGAAGTAAAACTTATAGATAAAATAACTAAGTATTTGATCTATAAACCTATACAGTTTTAAATTTGTTATTAAAATATCCCCAATTTTATATTCGAAGCTAAGAGAATAAGTAATGGATATTTTAGGTTTATAGTGATGTAGATACCTATTGAGTATTGATGTGTGCTTTTACATTGTGTAGGTATTGGACATTGGTTCTATTTTTCAGTAGTAAAATGTACCTATACGTAAAAGAAAAAGTGTCATTCATAATCTCTATTATACTCCATAGATCAGACATTCCTTTACTTGGTATACTTTATGCTGGACAATTTTTCGAAAGTATCATTTTGTTTTCTACACATAAAAATCGTATTTATTGTAGTTTCAGTCGTTTTCGATAGTTTCCATTGCAACGAAAGTAAATACAAATATTATATTTTATATGATTGATAATAAGGTTATAAATTATATTGAATGTAATTGAATAAATTATAGTGCCTATATTACTTTCCGTGCACAGCCGTTGCCTATTAAAAAAGCCAACTCTACCAAATGCAATTTATTAATGTTTCATAACGTTGCGGGGACGTTTTTCATGATCAACAGGTTGTTTTGTAACGCGAGCACGATAATAATATCACCTGTTTGTTTTTTAATACCTACTTTTAGAAATTAATTTTAAAAATCTTTTATATCATTGAGTATTATATTAAATATTTTAAATCGATTGTAATAGTAATAATACTGTAAGCTGCAGTAACCAATAGCAACCATTTATAGACCATACATTTCAATCGTACTTTTCATAATTCTTTCTTGACATGTTCGATAAGAAAAAATAGTAAGGGCCATTTATTGATTTAACAACTAACTTATATATTTTAAGTTGGACCAATTCACACACATTGAGCATAATCTTATCAAAATCGGTTGAGTAGTTTTGGAGTGCATTTCACGTACGACGTACCTACCTGAACTTGTTGTATGCGTGATTTTTATATACGTATTTAGACAGTGGCGATAAACTTTCAAAAAAGCGGTCAGGGGAAATTAGAATTCAACAGCCATAATGAGTATGTCCGTCCATTGTCCAGTAGCGCGTGTCAAATGTGTTGAGGGGGAAGCAAATTGTTAAATGACAATCTTACAAGACAATGATAACTAGTGACGGACAATAATCGACTCGACAATAACTTTTGAACAATATGGTCTATGCCTGTCATGGACCTTTTGGTCCAGTAAAAATGCTTCGATTTTCTGATAGGAAACACAATCTAGTTGGTACTTTAGAAGGTCAGATTTATATTTAAAAAAAAAGTTTCTCTTAGTTCTTACCTATCTATATAATGACATCAAAAAGAGGCAACATTTTATAATGAGTGGAAAATGCTTAAATGAAAATTTGAAGTATCCATGGCAGTCGGCAGTGGTGGTCAAATGATTTTGTCTAGGGAATCAAATAACTAGGTAGTAGTTATTCCTGATTGTAATATATCATTTTGTCCAAATTTTAACTTAGACATACTATAAAAAAATAATATTTTATTTATATATTTTTTAGATTTTTCGGTTAAAGAATAAACTACTTACGTGGAACCTTGTTTTTAATTTTCAATCCAAACTATACAAACTTAACATTTCATAAATTTAAAACTACCATAATTATTTGTACATTTTGGCTACATTTAAACTTTAAATTATTATAAAAAAAAATCGTCCGAAAGTATTTTTAATATTTTTCAACTGCTATTGTAACAATATATCAGTATAGCCTTGTATTACATTTTCAAGCATTTTTGCCAAACGAATAAAATTGTATTGAAATGTATAGAAAAAGAACTAGTAATAAATTGATAATTTAAAATGTCCGTTAATTACCCAAAACAAGTCAAAATACTTTGATAATTTTATCAAGTATAGAAAATTATAAATTAAACAAATGGTGTAAATGTCAAGTGTCTACGATTATTCGCTTTTGAATTGCAAATTTGCAACAAAATAAGAAAATCACTTAGTGAGAAATCGAGTGAATAACTAAATTTGTAAAAATGTGAACTCCAAACGCTCGTAAAAATGTTAAAGGTCAAAGGTAGACATTTGTCTTTTGATAAGGTTAGCCAAACATATGAGGAATCTTGTATTAAATTTTCAAATTTTAAATATAAAAAGAACATTTTTTATGAATTCCAAACTCAGAAAGATTTGGACATTTTCGTATTTTTTATATATTTTGTCAACATTCGAATTCAGACGCTCCAAGCTCATAAAAAATTATTGTGGATTTACGCTGAACTTTTTTTAATTTCCAATAACCACAACTTACAAGGAACCTTGTATTACCTAGTTACGATTTACGAATTACGATTGTTAGCCGATCGAAAATTTTTTTCGACATTAATTTTTAAAAAAAAAACTAATAATAATTGAACATTTCATAATATGCCTGTACCTCCCGAATGCACCAACTATATTCACTTTCCACCGGAAGAGATACTGAAAAACAAAGCACTATTTCAACACAGACACAAAAAAAAACTTATACACACATCATTGTAAAACCAATACATTCATCGCTCCGCTCAAAATCTAAATTGCAAACTTTGTTAATAATGTAAAATAATGATTGGTAAAAAATAAATGAAATTATTATTTCAGAGAATAGTTCTAGACTTGCAATTTTACTTACAAAAAAATAACAACCTTGGAAACGACTGGGAATTTTTAATTTTTAACCCCCGAATGCACCAACTATAGATTCACTTTCCCATCGTGAAAGATAGTGAAGTTGAAAATCAGAGCATTATTTTGACTACTTATTTAACATACACACACAAAATTAAAACAAAAAAATTATTTTAAAATCAATACATTCATTGCTCCGCTCAGAATCTTAAACCATCATTGTAATATCAATACATTTATTTTTAGACTTAGAGTGGACAAGTAGATAGGGAACTTAGTAAACTATTTATGCAAACTGTTAAGATCTCTTGGTTTGTCCTTAACTCAGAGCCATGCCAAGGGAGGTGGCAAATGGGTCAAGTGCCCTAGGGTGGCAAAAGTTGTAACATTTTAAAGGGCAGAAAATGTTTAAATACTCATGTTTAATAGGGGTGCCAAAACTATTGCCTGAGTCACCAATAAAAGTTAGCACGGCACATGCCGTCACTCACTAATTACTTATTACGCATTACTAAGATATTGAAATGTAAAGTCATAGGCTTATCTCCACCATTATATTTAAGTCAGTGAATTTCACGGATTAAAATATAAATAAATAAAAACAATTGTAGGTTAAAAAACGTAACAAATTTTACAATATATATTTGACAGAATTAATTATTACAATTGTCATCATAGATAATCAATTATTACATAGATGAAAATATATTTATAAGAAATTAAAATTTTAATTCATTATTAATACAAAAATGTGCAGGAAACAACAATAACTTTTTAAAAATTTACATTATATTACACAAATATTTTACTACAAATACTAAACATGAGTAATTAATTTAGAAAATATTTTTGATATAACTGTTAAATATAATAATACAATTATTTATTTTGTTAGTTTGATGTCATACAAAAATACAATCTATTCAACTTTTCAAGCAGATCATTTCAAATAATAAGTATAAAATGTTTTAATTAATATAGTTGGAGATTGAATAATTCAAATTATTTGTCATTATTACATACAATGAACAATTTGTATACTGTGATATTAATATTGTTCAAAATAAATATTTCATAACTCTAAGTACAATATTTATAAAATTATTAAGTCAATGTAAACCATACAAAACAACTCAAATAAATATTAAAATTAAATTAAAATATATATTTTAAAATCAAAACAAATTAATGACACAGAAGAAGAAATTAGCCATAGAAACAACATATTTTGTTGACAAATAGTAATTGAAATATGAAACTTTTTAAATGTAAATACAAGAAATAAATTACATTTACACCTCAAACTTATTGCAATAGTCAAATAGTTATATAAGATATTACTCCAGTGTGTTTGTATTTGTAAGGATAAAATATTGAAACTCCATAAATTAGGAGTATTTTAACGAAAAATTGAAATTGTAATTATTAAATTATTGTCTTCTTCTAACTGCTTTAGCTTTACGTCTTTCACCGGCAGGAGCTGTTCCCATGGAGAATAACGGTTGACTTGATCCCGGCATAACTTTAATTAGAAAATAAAACTATTAGTTGAATAATGTATTAAATTTTTATAGCTGTCCATACAAACTTACCAGTTGCGGTCATTGGAGGTGATCCAAAACCAAATGATCCTATAAGAACAAAATTAGTTTAAATATTAAAATAATGCAACATATAGCAATGAGTACAGTTGGAAATTTTGGTACGATAATAATAAATAAGTAAGAATAACTTACCAAAATGTGTTATAAATAAATTTAAGAATAAATATAATTAGTTAAATAATGCATCTTTAAAACATATATAATATCCTAGCTGTCCCGACAATGCTCTGCTATTACTAGATTTTATTATTATTATTTATTATTTATTTATCTGAAATAAAATATATCTTAAAATATTGAGGGCTTTGTCCTACTATAAAAGTCTACCTATGAGATGATAAACTTGTCGTCCTACCTTAAAGGTGGGCATTCAATTTCTCTCTCTAATTTTTTTCGCCCCAAACGAAGTCATCTGAAGAAGGCTATTGTATCTACGTTGTAATTCTAAAGGCTTTTTATTTAGGACCAAACTTATTCATTGCTCCGATTTGGGAGCTGTTCTAATGAGCATAATCAATTTGTGCTGAATGTCGATCTACTACTATGAGCTAAAATTCTATTGCCGTGTTCTATTTGTTAGACTGTTGTCTTTCTCTCTGTGCCATATGCCGCTGCAAACGTTTGGAGCTAGATTCTCTGGTCTGCGATTGCGACAAGAACTGTCTCTGACTTGTGAGACAATTTGATTTTTTAGAAGAAGAGTCTATTTTTGCTAATCTCAATTGGGAACTATAATTAGATAGTTGTGACCTTTTTCCTAGGCATATTGTTTGGAAGTTTTCTTTTTCAAATCAGAGAAAATAAGAATAAACAGTGTACATAGAGCATAATAAATGTATGAACTTGGATGTAAACAATTACTGGATGATAAGACTTCAGTGTCAACAGATTGAAAGTACTGAGCTACACAAACTTATAGCGGGAAACAGGTGAAAAAATTAAAGTTTTACTAAATCTAATATCTAAGTGTTGGCGTATATATGATTTATGAGTATGAGCAGCGCAAATACGTAGAATTACCACTGCGCCAACAGCCATATCGCTTTAATAATAATAGTTATTAAAACCAATAGCAACTATTTACAAACAAACAATGCCATCGTAAATCTCAAAATCCCTTTTTGAGCACCTCCCAAGGTTCTCTAATTTACGCTTTTTAAATTAGTCTATAACAATCATAAATAATGTGGCTTTCTATTGGTAAAATAATTTTCAAGTAGATCCACAGATTACCTCCTATAACCTCTAAAACTTAACCTCTTTATAATAATGTAAGTATAGATATACAATTATTGATTTAAACTACCTAAACTTTAACTTCAAATAAAAAAGTATAAATAAAGGTAATGTGAAATACTGGGTTTTACGATATTGTATCACACACTATGTTTTAAAAGCATACGATATATTATTTTATTATCTACTAATCTATTTTGCTGTTTTTGGATTTTTACCTATAGTGATTTTATATTGTTTAAATTGTACATGATAAGACCAGATTTTAAAATTAACCACACTGACTAATTATTGACGAAATGCTGATCTGAAGAACTTAGATAGGTGATTAAATATAATATACAAAATATATAATATGAACTTGAGATCAAAATAAATTATTTTTCCCATTATTCTTTTATTTGCACAGCAGTCTGAAATTACTAAGTTTACCCTGATGTTCACATAATAGGCACCTGTTCTGTAGACACAATAATATTATAACCGGTGTCTGTCATTGTATGATTGTGATTTTATTTAGTTGCTTGTTGTCATAAGTCTAATTTTTCAAAAATGCCGAGAACACCATGAAGCAAATTAATAATTTAATTGTACAGTAGATAGGTACTATCATTAAATAAAATAAATATAATGTTTATAACTGATGATACAACTCTTTTTTGTCAAGTGTGTAACAAAACACATTCTGAACCAGGGGTCTGATATGAAGAAATTAAAATTATAACTTTATGATATGAAAAGTTGGGCATAGAATTGTAAAGAAATAAAAATATTCTATGAATATTATTATTTGTCACATACATGTGAAGTACCTACTCGATTTTACAAGGACAAGTAGCTCTTAACTTAACCTTTATCGAAGGAAAGCCGAAAAAGTGGCATCCGTATATCATATATACATATATTAAAAACATTTTAACAGTGAAAATAATATAAAGGATTAGGTACCTATATTAATGTAATAATAGTAAATATTAAATACCTTGATTTGGTTGTGTTCCTCCAAACTGTGGTGTTGACAATGGTGATGGGACTTGGCCAAATTGGAATGGCGAAGCAGTTGTAGAAGCAGCATTAAAACTAAAAGCCCCATCTGGTTTAGTAGGTTGTGAATTACTGCCAAAGGCAAATGTAGATGAACTAGTAGGCGCAGGGTTTGTACTACCAAATTGAAAACTTTGATTTGTTCCAAATGTATTAGATGGAGGTGATGCTACACTTCCAAATGTAGGTGCAGCCGTAGGGGAAGTTATGTTGCCAAATGGAGATGGCTGCGGTGTTTGAACAGTACCAAATGTGGTGGTTTGTTGAGGTGCTGAATTGCCAAAACCACTAAATCCTGATGTTGGAAATGTGCTGGTAGCTTGGCCAAATTTTACTGGACCATTATCAGTCTTATTGGCACTAAATTGAAATGCATTACTCGTTTGAACTGAACTTCCAAATTTGAACGGTTCTGCTGTTTTTTCAGTATTATTTGTAAATTGTAATGGTTGATTAGAAGAAGGAAAAGTAGTTCCAAAAGAAGCAGGTTTATCGTTTCCTCCGAATTTGAAGGGAGCACTTGTATTTTGAGTTCCAAAACTTGGAGTTGAGAACTGGGTTTTTGGTTCTTCTGTTTTTTGTGTATTAAACTGAAATGCTGGTTTATCTCTAAAATCTTGTGGAGCTGTGGCTCCAAAAGCTGGTGTAGTTTTGTTAGAAGCGAATGGAAATGAGCCACTTGGCGTCTCAGAAGGTTTATCACCAAGTTTTGATCCTGTATTGCTAAATTGAAACATGGGATTTGTTGTATTATTAGCAAAAACCATACCAGAAGTTGTTGGTTTGTTTTCGGCTGTTTGACTACCAAAAACTAATTTTGGACCCTGGTTGATAGCCGATTGACTGACAGACGTATTAAATTGAGACTTTGATTGATCTGTTGTAGATGCTCCAAATACCGGAGTTGGCAAAGCACCAAATTGTAATTTAGGTGTTGATTTTTCAGTGGTATCATCATACTTAGGAGGATTACCAGTAGGCAAGGTTATATTATCTGTTTTACCAAAACTAAAAAGATTTTTATTTTGTAAATTCGACCCGAAAACCGCATTTGTAGATTCTGTTACAGGTGTACTATCACACTTCAAAGGGCCAAATTGAAATTTCACAGAATCTGTTGGTTTTGAATTTTCTACAGATTTTTGATTATTACCAAATGCAAATAATGGTTGAGTAGATGTTGAATTTTCTGACCCTTTTGTTGCTTCAAACGGCATTTTAGGTGTTGATTGTTTATCATTTACTTTGGCCACTCCAAATTGCATTACAGGTGTTGTTTGTTTATCATTGACTTTAGTTGCACCAAATTGCATTACAGGTGTTGATTGTTTATCATCAATTTTGGGCGCTCCAAATTGCATTACAGGTGTTAATTGTTTTTCGTCAGATTTATTTATTCCAAATTGCATCACAGGTGTTGATTGTTTATCATCAATTTTAGGCACTCCAAATTGCATAACAGGTGTTGATTGTTTTTCATCAGATTTAAGTACTCCAAACTGCATTACAGGTGTTGATTGTTTTTCATCTGCTTTGGGTGCTCCAAATGTAAATGACGGTTGTACTTGTTTAGAAAAGTTATCAATTTTAGTTCCAAATACTAATGATTTTTCTGCTTCTTTCTTTGAATTATCTATTGACTTTTCAGAATCAATTTGTACATGCAAATTGCTATTATTTATTTTAGAACAATTACTAACATCAGTAGATGAATTCGTAACGGATTCAATTGTTTTAGATGCCGGAACAGTAAACTGATATGATGGTTTAGGTTTATCATTATCATTATTAAAACTATTTTGTCCTCCAATTTGAAAATTATCATTAATATTTTTATTCTTTTCTAAAGACTGGAATTCTTTTTGTTCATTAGGATTATTTACACTATTATTTTGTGTCTTAATTGCTAATGTATTATTTGTAGATTCTGATGTTTGATCAACAATTACTTTCCCATCTACTTCATTAGTCTTTTTATGATTTTCCTCAACAGATATTACTGCAGAAGCTATTGGACTACCGAAATTAAATTGTAAAGGAGTATTGTTTTTATTTCCTTCAATAATTTTTGGTGTACTTTCTGATGGTTGAAGACCAAATGCTAGTGGCACTGTAGACTGTACTAAAGGTGTTGTGTTTAATGTAGCACTAGGTGAAGTAGTTGATAATGTATTAGTAGCCGCTGGTTGTACTACATTAAATGTGGATATTATAGGTGATGGAACACAAGCAGCTGAATCAACAGACTGGTTGCCATTTTTCACATTGGACTTATCAATATTATGCTGTTCAATTGAAATAACTGTGAACAAAAAAATAATGTATTTAGTATCATCCTTTTTTTTGTTATTAAATTATTAAATCTTTCAAGTTACAAGAAATATTTTAGTAAATAAGCGGTTATTTTAAAAATTGCATCTAAAGTTTACAAAATAAAAACATATAGGAAGTTTAAAAATTAAAAAAAAAGTATTTAAATAATAAACTACTAAACAATGATTATTACTCATTTTAGGCATCAGAAAAATTGCAACTTTTAACATCAACAGTTTATAATATTTAAGATTCTGAACAAACTAGAAATAAATTGGTCCTATTAATATTTTTTTTTAAGTGAGTACATATTCTAATGAATTCAATTTAACCACAAATGAAGACTTGGATTATTATTTTAATTTTTTATTAATAAAAATTGTTTTAATTGTTTTATTTTAATTTAAAAGTATAATATAATCCTAGACTTGAAATTATTAGTGATTATTTTATTATAATAAACTTATATAGTTTTCAAAATATGATTTAAAATTATTAAAAACCATAATTATGATTAAACAGACTCGAGATTATAGAGTATAGATAGTAAAATATATTACCTTGCTCTTGAGCTTTTTTCCTTTTTTCTTCAAGCTTTTCAATACTTGTATATGGTATAAGATCCGCATCGTCAAATACTTCATCAAGTATAGTTTTCATACATACTTTCTTAACAACCTGGGTTTTACCGCTTCTGTTAAATATGCGACTTGCTGCAACTGTTACTAGATCATCAGACATGTCAGTTTCTGTGGTTTTGTCACTTTTATTGGAATTATTCCGGTCATTTTGAAGTAAAACAGTAGAACCACAGCATGTACAGCTTTTACAATGCTTACGATCTGGTGATTCTTCTTCATGATCTATTACATAGTTATATATTAATTACATAAAAGGTGGTTAAGCTTAATTAAAACTAACATATATAACTGTATTTATTATGAATAACTAAATATTTATATAGTAAGAAAAGTTGACTATGTTCACTTAGTACAATCAGTAGCAAATCATAAAAAGCTAAAAAATTGTCAATTTATTTAATATAGGTACATAGATTTGCTAATGGATTAAAGCAAATTATTATATTATACTATAGTACCTTTAGACAATTTACCATAAACTAAGTTCAAAAAAAAAATGAATGAGGTTACAATAATAAAGAACTTGTATTTTTATAATATTTCTTCCATACAATTTATGAGATTTGGGTACAAAACTAACAATATTTTGAAGTTGAAATATATAGAATGTCATACCAACATGTGTTGTCTCCATCTTACAAATGAACTGCACGCCAAATTTGAGTTTAGCCTAATCAATTTTATGTTGTTAGCTTTAAAATTAAAGTGAACTGAATTATCTCAAACACGAAGGTAAGAACATTATCTTTGTTTATACATCAGATTTTCACAATATTAAAATTTTTAAGCACATTTAAAAATGCTTATAACTAGGGCTTGGATTTATATGTATTAAAAATATGTAAATATACATGTAAAAAAAAATTACTTAACATATAATAAAAAAATTAAAATATGGAAGTACACAAGAATACAAAAAGTGCAATTTATGTATAATTAAATCTTATTCTGAATCTTTATTGCAATGAGACACAATATACATGGAAACTTGATAACCTACCTAACCCATATTGATCATAAATAAGATTTAATGACTGGTATTAATGTATTATTTAATATAAGTAGGTACTTTTTGAAACAGGAAATTGTCCTAAAATTACAAAAGTTTATACAGTTGACAAAATACATTTTTATATTATCAAAATTGTGAATATGTATAAAAAATGGAATTATTGAGAATTATGTAAAAATATTTAGTATCAAGTATGGATTATTTTATTACAACTTACAAATCATTTGAAACAAATTTATCACTTGCCTAAATTAAATGTTATTACCACTGTAAAAATATGTAATTACAATTTACATATTATAAATCCAAGCCATACATATAACTCTATTAAAAATTAAAATATAAAACTATTTTATTAAAATAAAACTGACGCAGATATTGTTATTACTTTTAAGTTTAATAACAGGTTAATTTACTCTAACGCAGTGCTCTATGTAAACATGCCGTGCACGGATATGAATCAGAACACCTTGTATTTCATCACATCGAACAGACTTAAAACAGCATGTCAGAATAGGAATTGTTTATATTGTGATTATGGCATAATATTGAAGCTAAAAACACTAAATTGGTTCTACTTAGCAATTATTTTTTATGTTAGGTTAGGTGCTATGTTTGTAAGACAGACACAACACAGGTGGGTAATGTGTCCTCATAATATTAGAGTACAGGGGCATAATTAGTTGGGGGGGGGGATTAGGGGATAGATCTCCCCAAAACTTTTTTTTACTGCTAACATTTTGATCAAAGTATTGATAATGAGTAATGACTATTCATGTTTGCTAAAAACTTATATTCCCCCCCCCCCAAACCAAATTCCTAATTACACCACTGTTAGAGTATTTACTAGTGTTAACACTTTTCAAAAATAGACTATGGGCCAGTTGTACCGTCTAAGGTTTAAATATCAGTTATCAGCTGATTAAGCGTAATCGAAGTTTAACCATAGACAGTACAACTGGCTCTAATATTGAGAAACTTCCAAATTACTAAGTCTGATAGAACATAAAATAAATTTGTGTTATAGAGAATTTTGTTGAATAGAATTGAATAAATTTAGCTCTAATTTGGTTTGGTTCTCAAAAATATTTTGTTTAACAGAACATTTTTTAAACGGAAGTTTTGTTGTATATATTATAATAATTATTATTATTTTTAAATATTTAACATAATTCAAATTACCAGATGGATAAGATCGTTTTTGACCAGGCGTTAATAAAAACTTGCTAGAACTATAGGAGCTCAATATTTCATTATTCCGAGTCCTGGGTTTCTTCTGTGGATGACAAATGTTTACTCCAAAATCTCCTTGTCGTTTAGTTCTAGTAAAACAAATAAGAAGTTAGACATAAAAATAAAAATATAAGTAATGATAATAGTTGAATAAAAAAATTATTTTATTACTATTTTATTTACACTAGACAGACATTACACCAATTACTGACATATTAATAAATAAAATAACTATATAATATTGAAAATAATATTAATCATACCCTTTTTTTTTTATTAAATATCCAAAATATTTCACCAACTTAACAATGAATATATTATGTACAAAGACTTGTGTAATGTTTGTTTGTTTATATACAATTTAATTATTTTGGACATCAACTTACTATAATTTTACTTATTTTAAACATATTATTATCTGACATTACTAACTTTTTGTTTTCTACATTGACACTTGAAGAATTTGTTACTGTTGGGGTAGGTTGATTAAATCTATGATTATGTCCATTCATCACTATTACGCGATCAGGCACAGCATTAGATTCACTTATGGTTCTTCGACGTCGATTAACAAATGCATCAACACCGCTCTTTAAAATTGAATTATATATATTATGTAGTTATTAAAAACAATTGACAAATGTGCACTTTACTTGACCCATCATGATTATCAATTTTTTTTTTTAAACAGTTGATATAAAAATAATATTTTTTTAAGCTATCATTTTAGAAGTTACTTTAACGAACCCCTACAAGTGAAGTCCCAAAATTGAAATTTCAAGCGTTTATCACTAAACACAGTCAGTGTTGAGTAATAATGTAACGCAAATTACAAATCACTATAACAAGATTACTTTTGCAGTAATTTAATTATATTTTATTTAAATTAATGTGATTGTAACGAAATTACTTTAAAAGTAATTTAAAGTTACTTTAAAAGTAATTTCTAGAGATACGTGTTATTTTCCATGTTATTAAAATAAGTTATGTATAGCATAAAACAATAACTAGGGGCTAGGATATTCAAGAAAAATTAAAAATTAATACAATTATATTTACGATTCCGAAAGTTTTAGCTAATAATCAATAAAATTACGTATTAAGGATCCCAGGAATTAATACTCATACAATTTATATAATAATTAATAGTATACCTACTACTCATTAGTCGTTATGGACAGATTTTGTAATTATTTTTTTAAAAACCAACATTATTTGGAACACCATACTTTTTGAATATAAAAGTAACGTAACATGATAAAAACAATGTAAGGTAACACGAATGTAATTTAAAAAAAATATACAACGTAATTAACCCTACACTGCCAACCGTTAAGGCGGGTCAGTGTACATATGTGAAAGTGGGCATTCTTAATCTGAATGGAGTATAAATGCATAATGCTTTATATTACAATTGATAATGTAAGTTCAATAATGTTTTGGTTCACATTAAGTAGAGTGTACTAGAGCTCTGCACGGGCCGGGACCGGGTGGCGGGTAGTCAAGGGTAACCGGGCCCGGGTACTCACGTATGAGTTGTCATTTAAAAAAAAATCTGTTTTTATTACACAATACATATTATTATCATATTTTAGGAGAAAATAAGGTTATAGGTTGGGCCAGGCTGGGCATATTTTTAATTAAGATAACCGGGCCGGACTTAGCATTCACTAATTTTATTAATATTACCTTATATATTACCTCTTGCCGAGTTCTTTTTCTCCCTCCAAAATTATCTAACGTTTCCATCAATTTCCGCTTCTTATCATATACGTCTCTTGATGTATTATTGCCATTCATTGTATTGCTACCATTCAAACTATTTCTAGAAAAAATAAAATCAAATTAACATTTATAAAAACAATAATAGAAATTAGGTACTTCCATAAAAAAGAAAATAGTAAGTATAAATACTAATTAATGAAATAATAAAAGTAATAAAATTAACCTAAGCACTTATTTTAATTATATATGGATAATACAAAATAAAATTATAAATTATGTTATTTTGTTGCAAGCTGATATTTATATGATGACATTATTCATAATTATTTTTATTGATTACCTGATACAAAATATTCTATAGAATGGATTAAAATCAACAATAAGTAAGTACTAAGTAGTATGAAAAATAAATTATAATAATATAATTATGGCTTTACAGTTTATAGTGTCTACCAAAATTATCGTTCTTCTCACATTAAAATGTATAATGTTCGGTAGTTCTCATTACTTACTCTAGAGTATAGGATGTTGATAAATTTGATACGTCAGTGTTTGGAGTGGTTGATCTCATTTCCCGAGCTTTTTGAGCTATACGAAAACTAAATCCCGGACTAGTTACTGTTTCTTTACAATTGGATCTAAAAGTAAATTAATGTTGATTATCATTAAAAATAATTATTTACAAAAAACGTATAAAGCACAAAAGCAAAAGAAAAAACATCATCTTTGTTTCATTTACAAATTGTATTTATACACACAGGAGAACACATAGACAAGTATACTAAATTAACACACATAATAAATAAACTAAATTGATCCCACTTACATAGGTAATATTATTTGGTACCTATTTGCTTGTTATTGCCCCACGGAGCCTTATGAAATTGATCACCCTGATACCAGGCAACATTATGTCAGACGTCAGTTGTATTTAATCTAAAAATTTTCGAAATTTATGATAGGTAGATATTTCTTCCCGTATTTCTCTGTATCTCAATATCTTATTTGTTAAGGCGCATTCACAGCTACGTCGTGTGTCGTGTTGTGTGAGGGCTTGGTTATTATATGGTTACGGCTGGTAACTAATATGGTTTAAGAGTTGAGCAGTAGTCAATTCTTGGTATACTCGGTCGCACCTTGGTTATTCCACTATACCAAAAGAGTAACATCCAATCGGCAATCACAAAACAATTTGATCGACACGACACACGACGCAGCTGTGAATCCGGCTTTAATCTAATTAATGTAATCCATTTATGGTAAAAGGGGAAATACCTCTTATAATAATTGGAATTGAATTTTATTATATTGTAAGTTATAACCATGTTATTTTGTTTGTAGGCTTGTCGTTATTTGTACCTATGTATAATTTCAAGTGCATACCAATCTTACAAACGTAACATAGGTACCTACTTATTTAAAATTATTGTTAAAAATTAATTTTAATGGGTAATTTTCAAATTTTTACAACAAAAACCTATCATTAAACCAAATAAAATGTGTGACCTTCAAGGATCTAGTGTGTTATTAATATAAAACAGAACATTTTACACGATTAACAATAAGTAACGTACAAATTTAGTATTAATAATATATTTTTTATCGTATTCCTCCAAAATCTACATGTTAACCTGCTTGTAGGTTGATTCGGAAAATTAACTTTTTTTTGTTGATAACATACCTTAATGAAGTTCTACCTCCATTTGATTTGGGTGACTTGTTGTTAAAAACATTAAGAGCCCTGGCATGTGGGCTGTTTAGGTTTAATGTTTTACCATTTAAGCTGTTGGGCCCCTTGTTCTTATCAGCATCCGGTTTAGAATTTAAAAACTTCAAAAACGAAAACATAATAAGTAACGATAATATTAAACCGCGCAATAAAATCTAAAAATTAACTAGGTAAACCAACAAGATTAACAAAATTAAAAGCCAAAAGGTGAATTTGATTGAGAATTTTATAACGTTTAAGTATTTAAGTAGACGGAACACCGAAATAACGTGTTAATAAAATAATAATAATAATTTATCCTAAGTAGTTTTGACAGTAAACACTGAAACGTGTAATAATGTGTAACTGTAGTTGTACTATGAATGTGTGAGACGTCAAGACGTGAGAGTGTGTATGTTGTGTGTGTGTGTGTGACACGGTTAGTCGTTTTGTACCATGATAACAAAATATATAATTCAATTATTATTGTACTGTTATCAGTTTAATGAAAAACCGTTGAAAAAGCAATCTGATATGTCCATATTGTTATACCATGGTTCATGGTGAAAACAAACGTCCGGGACGCACGGACTGTCTGCACTGCATACGAGTATTTTCATTGGTTCAACATTTGGCGCGATAAAATATTTAAATTATATCTTTAATCTTAGATCATATTATTTTTATACGGTTGTAGTACATAGAATAATATAATAGGTATAATCCTATAATATGATCTCGATAAGTCTAATAATATTATCTTACTATCTTAGCATAAGTAAGTGTCGCCGTAAATCAACCACAGAGTAATATTACTCTATTAAGTCAACATACAATGAACCATGCTATCAGCATGTAGGTACTTAAATCAATAAATCTGATTATTGTAAATACCTTGTACCTAACCTACATCAATAACAAAAAGAATTATTATTTACAAAAAAATGGTTCATAGTACATGCACAGTGAAATGTGCATTGTGTGATTACTAATTATCGAATGTTCCATAAATTAATTTCAAGATGAATCTTTCTAAGTATATATTATAAACTCTGATGTTATAAATTTCTCTTCTAAAAATGACTCCATATCTATTGTTAGGTCAAATTTAAATAATATTATGTACAATATCAGAAAGTGGGACAAATTTTTCATTATTATTTCAATTTTATAAAAATCATGTATTATTACCGTTATTATTTTTTAATGACCGGCCAGATCTACTTTCCTGTACCTATTCATTTCTGTGTTCCAATCTATCCTTCAAGACATCATACACCCTTTCATATCCCTACTCACGTCAACTCATATGGACACAACTCACAACCATCCTTTACACCTTTACAACTGTTAAAATTGTCAAATTCAATATTGTAGGTACAGTTATCGACCACCTTATAGTTTATATACTTTCACATATTATATTTTATAAATTGCCAATTGGCGTCAATAAAATAAAATAAAATGTAATAGTTATATTGGTTTAGTCCCTTATTTATCCCATTATCTCCATCATTATAATGTTATCTAGTTGCTTTTAGTGGAGTGTAGAAAGTAGGTAGGTACACTGTATGGTGTATACACATTACAGTATTACACATTGTTTAAATGGATGTCCTTCACACATCAATACATTTTGCACCAGACACAGTGCTTGCATAGTTGCATACATAATTTTAATATAACAGATAACCATTTGAATCAAAAGGTATCATATAATATATATTATAGAAGAATACTTACAGATTTTACACCTTTTTTGTCAACTGATGCTGGAGCTATTCCTGCCCAACTGCTGAACTGCCTAAGTATATTATTATTATCAGTTATAATATCCGTCATACAAAATAGAAACAATAAATAATATACATAAATAAATAATTCCATCGTGATTAAATTTTACATTCTATAATAATTAATAATTATTCTTTCAAATTTCCAATCACGGTGTAGAGAAGATAGGTAATCTTTTATATTATTATGACATATTGAGTATTGACATTGTGGTTACAACTTCCAATACCTACACATTAGACCCAATAAAAATGTGTAGGTTCCACATAATTTTTAGAACAAATATATTTTATCAGCACAATTAATGTTCAATGGATTTTAACAAATTATAGCGGAACAGGAATAGTTCCGTCAATAAGGAATGGGTATAAAAAAAAATGCAATTTTCTAACAAACCATATTTTGTTCCAACGAATATTTTGTTTCTACTTCAGTTCCAAAATTATTGGAGTGCTCACGGACAGTATCTGACAATGGCCAACAGGCCATGCAATAATGAGTAATGATACTGGAGGAACTGTTCTTGCCTCTTGGACGATTTGGACACAGCGATCCAACGATTCTAGTTTATGTTGGTTTTGCCCACGGTTGTCTACTCTGTAGGTTAAACTGGTAAATAACAGACGCAGGGGCGTACTCAAGGGGGGGGGGGGGTCGTGGGGTTTGAACCCCTCCCATGACCTTACTAACCGATGCACTTTTGTGCGTTCTTGTTTATACATAATATAATTCACAGGAGCAATTTTCTAAAAAAAAATTTTTAAGAAGGGAAAAAATAAACAAATATATTTATTTTCAATTTTATATCAACATGCATTATACAACGATTACAAGCATTATCCGTGCTCAAACAACGCTAAATAAATAAATATTTGACGTGGACGGAACGTTCATGCATTCACACTATTCTAACGGACAAGAACGAACAGGCACCGACACGTCAAACAAAAGTTTTCGATAAACGTTGACGTTCCGTGCCTTTGACGGTACGTGACGGTGCCGGTCAATGTAAACACTGTCGTATTTATAGATGACAACATATTTTGACGTGACGTTGCCGGTCTGTGACGTGACGTTGACGTTCCGTATAGTGTGAATCGACCTTTATGATAACTAGATAAAATTTAAATCAAACATACAAGGTGTATTGATAAGTTGTCGTCACTCTGGACCCCTATACGTATACACTCTTGATTGAAAATATTACCACAGTTCTATAGTCACCAGAGCTCGCTTCTTGTCCTACGAAGGCCTGTATATTCATTCTGTTAAATGCAAAATGTCTTAAAACTTCAGAATTAAAATGCTAATATTTTTTAAAATTGAAGTCAGTATTTACAAAAACATTGAATCATAAAAAGTTTTTTTTTTTTTTGAGTTGTTATAATAAATTTGGAGCCTGTAATTATACATTACATTTGCATTTTATTCATTGGCAATATTTTTATCGAGTAGACATCAATTAGAAAAAAATATTATGTATAATTTAGTCACTTCTTTGGATATTTGCATCCTTCTTAAAATTTTTAAATTAAATTAAAACTATTATGATTCTACTCCTAATTCTAATAGTAGTCTGGTAGAGTCTGGTAGAGTCTTATTTTCTAGTGCTCATAAAAAACTAAAAACATGTTTAAAATATTTTGCATATTTTATTTTATGATTAGGTATATTATTTATATTATAATATTATTCAATAATAGTTATCTTATAAACTTCAAACTAATTTTGAAAAATTGTTTAGTTTTTTTTGGTGTTTTCTTGTTTTTAGCACCTTGCTCGTTTTTTTCTTTTGTAAGTGAATATCATTCTTGTTTTGACATAATGCGTTATGATATATTTGGTTAATATTTGACTGTGTATTGAGCAACCAACCTTTGTCAAAAAATTTGTTTATATATTTCTTCAATAAATATAAATTATGTTAGAAAAATAAACAGTGAAAAATGTATATGTAGTTTTCAAATTGAAATGCAACATTAAAAACATGATCTTTTACCGGGACAGCTAGTTATATTTAGATATTTTACACTATAATCTAGTACAGTATTTCTCAATTTTTTTTGTCGTGAGGCTCCCTAAATTTAATGTAAAACTGTCAAGGCCCCCTTAATCAACATTATTAATTGTTTTTTCTAAATTAGGTATATACTAAAATTACTTATACTATTTCACACAGATTAATTATTAAAATGTATAGTAATTTAATATACTTTTGAAAAATATTAATGATAGTATTAAAATTTAAGTATTTATTCTTTTTCCATAAACGCTTAAAGTCAAAAAATAAAAATAAAAATAAAATAATAACATTTTTTACTAGTGTGCCTGGAAGTTCTAAGTACATTGAACCCTACAATAATCTTAAAAGAAAACATGAACACGTTAATAAATCGGAATCGGAATATTGTTCTTTAAATAAACATTTTTCATTTTTGAAATTTATTTTCTGTAGAGTAAATTACCATGTTTATATTTAATATTTTTAAAAAGGAGGTGACAAAGTCCCCGTGATAAAAAACAAAATGTTCAACCCCCCCCCCCCATTGAAAATTCCTGAGTACTCCCCTGAACAGACGAGTACTGAGAATAATAAAATAATTAATAATCAAAATGATTTCGTCATGAGCAGTGAACTCGTCCAGCCGGCAGCCCCTCAGGCCTTGTGACTATACCCTGTCCCACGAGAGAACGCCACTGGCTCGGCGCTTGAGCTTCCAAATTTTAATTATAATAATTATTATATTAACTATTATGATCTCGTAAAATTGAAAAAGGGGATTCGTATTTGAAAGACAGAAGTTTGTTTTGTCACAGGATCATCCTTAAGAGGTTCAATAAACCTCAGGAATTCTAAACTATGGGCTATTTAAAAATTCCAAGATATACAGAATTTTAATATATACATAATTTATGCATAAAAATAGGGCGAGAATGCTTAAAACTCACCCTGTATAAATAAAAATGAAAACATAATAAATGAAGTATATTCTATACGCCAGTGAGCACTGAGTTTTCCAAATTATACGGGGTGCTTATATAGGTATATTGTTTCATTTATTTTCACATACCGTGAATAGTCGACCCTCATATGTATAGATACGCCCATAACTATACAATACCTCAATACGTAGGCAGCTATAAATTAAAATATTATTATAAAATTTAGTTTTTATTTTAAATTAATTTATGTAGATTAATTTACAACCATCTTAATTCTTAGAAGCACCTGAAATTTTTATTTGAAAATAAACACCTATTACCATTAAAAAACGTTAAATTATAAAAAAAAATATAGAAACTGTTGTTCGCACACAAGGTTGATTATCAGAATAACTGAGGGTCG